CATTATTTCATTTGAATTATGTTTACATGTAGTTTTCTTTATTATATGCTGAGATGTCTGACAATAATGCCCAATTGAATTTACAACTTGTTTGTGTTATAGCACGACTCATTGAATAGTATTACAATATGTATATTCATAAAAATTCTTGTATGAACTTTGCTCAAACTGGAAACATGTGGCTAATGAAATTATTAGGCGGACATGAAATTAGAAGTTATAGAATGTTTAGAATGGATAATGATGTTTTTATGTCGCTATGTAATGATTTGCAATGTAACTGCGGATTACAGGGATCAAGAAATATGTTCACGTTTGAAATAGTCAGAATGTTTTTATTCATTTTAGGTCAGGGTGCGGGAAATCGTTCAACACAAGAACAATTTCAACACTCTGGTGAAACAGTTAGTAGATATTTTGAGTACATTCTAGACATTATCTGTCGTATGAGTATGGATGTTATTAAGTTTGATGATCCAGAGTTTAGTGGCGTGCCTCACGAGATACTAACGGATTGTAGATATATACCACATTTTAAGGTATTCTCTTAGTTAATTATATGCTTCCTTCCTTATTTAAAGTATTCATTTTAAACATAAAACTTTTTTCTTTTTAGAACTGTATTGGTGCAATAGAAAGCGTACACGTTTCAGCTACAATACCACCAGAAGATTAAGTCCCATTTATTAGAAGAAAGCGTGTGCCAATCCAAAATGTGATGGTTGCTTGTGATTTCAGTATGAAATTTACATATGCATATGCAGGTTGGGAAGGTAGTGCCCATGATACAAGAATATTCTTATCAACACTACGTCATGCAAATTTGAATTTTTCAACACCACCAGAAGGTTAAAACGTCTTCTATATTCATGAAATATATGTTTTATAATTTACTAATTCGTTGTGTTTTTATTTCAATAGGTAAATACTATTTGGTTGATGTGGGTTAACTACAATTAAAAGGATTTCTTAGACCTTATGGAGGAGAACGATACCATTAAGAATAATTTTGAATGGGTCGTCGACCAACTGGCCATAAAGAGGTATTCAACCAAGTACATTCTTCTTTTTGAAGTGTCATTGAACGCACATTTGGTGTCTAGAAGAAAAAATAGAAAATTTTGAAAGACAAGCCAAATTATTCATTTGCAAAGCAAGTGAAAATAGTTATTGCTACAATGGCGCTCCATAACTACATTAGGAAGCATGACAAGCGTGATCGACATTTTTAAAGGGTCGAGGATAATCCAGATGTTTTCATTTTTGAAGAGAATCATCAACCAGATGACAATGGAGAAGAAAATCAAGCTTTACTATCATTGAAAATGGATGAAGTATGAGATCAAACTGCGGGAAGTTTCATGAACACGACTTAATTTTTTTCATGACTCTACCCGGTTTTGAACATGGAATGTACATTTTTGTTGTATATGTTGATTACTCACTAACGCTCCTTATAGTTGTAACTATATTGTGAATGAAAAAATGAAAAAATAATTAATTATCATAAATTTATTATTAGAAAACTCAAAATCATAGCATTATTTTTTTTTTGTAAGCTCAACAAGTATTTCTAAATACCAAAAACAATTATATATATTTAAGTTTCATACAAATGTCTATTTTTGTCATTTTACATACACACAGCAATTCAGTCTCAAAATTTACCAAACGCTATTATACTGATTTTGAAATCAACACAACAAGTATAATTAAATTTTACCAAACACTCAATTATTTATTATAACAGCTGCTTCTCCTTTTAACATAGCTAAAAGTAATTTTTTTTAAATTCACAGTACTAACAAATTAAGCCATTATTGACAAACAAACTAGGAAAACGGTACTGATTTGGAGACAACAATCTTGCATAGCAGAGCGGAACAGGAGAATGATAATATTATTTACTTGTCTAGTTCATTAATGACTACAAGCACGGAACGACAATAAACCGAAAATGGCATGGACGCGGAAGAAGCAACAATCTCAAAACGACGATAACTTCAAGATTGACGTGAACGGGTAAAAACAAGTACCAAAGCTTTAAGAAGGAAAAAATAATAAAAGAAAGACAAAAAGGAAACGCTATTAATAAGAAAATAACAATTATTATTAAACGACAATCACTCAGATCAACAAAAGAAACAGAACTATTATAAAAACGACAAGAAATGAAAGAACGCGGATAAACATTTCATTACCTACACAACAGCGTTGGGTGGGAAACCTAGAAGTTGATGGAATGAGACGAACCAAAAAAAGCCACGGGGTACTTTTATTAAAATAAACTGTAAAAATCCTATACCATGACTCGATCTGGCAAATATAAGCTGCAATTAGTTTAATTTACTGGTAAGAGCAAAAACTAGAGGTGTCGCTCGGGGGGTGGTAAATTACAACTTAAAGTGCAATGCCAAGAGCAAAGTGTTGAAAGATGGTAAATGATATAGTGCAAAGTCATTAGTTTTTATATTGAGCATTTACAACTGCAACACGTTTTAGGCTTAGTTTAGTAGTGCTGTAGATTTTTAAAAAATTACCTTTAACTGTGTTGAAGGAAGAATGAGCTGTTACAAAAAAACAGCTGAGTGTTTGGTAAATTATAATTATAGTAGCTGTGCTGGTCTCAAAATCAGTGTAATAGCGTTTGGTAAATTATGAGGTTGAATTGTTGTGGATAATTAAAAATTACAACTATATTATATTAAACTATAATATAATATATATAATTACAATAATATATATTTATTATTATATTTAATATAATAAAAAAACTATTATTACATAATATATTATATAATTATGATATAGAATATAATAATATTATTAAAATGGTTAATATAATTACAATATTATAATATTACATAATAAATATTAATATTTCAATTATAATAAAATTAAAAATTACAACTATATTATATTATATTATATAATTATTATTATATTATATTAAACAAATATATTATAATTAATATATTATATAACCATAATGTTGTGTAATACACTATAATAAATAATAATATTAGAATTATAAGATTATATTAATATTTAATTATTATTATAATAAATATAATTATATCAATACAATATAATATATAATATATTATAAAATAATAATTACAATATCATATTATAATTATAATATCATATTATAATTATATTATAATTATAGTATCATATTATTAAAATAATTAGAATATCATTAGAATATCATATTATATGATAAAATAATAATATTAGAGGTATTAATATAATTATGATATTATTTGTTACAATATTACTATCATATTATATTATATTACGAGTTTGAATTTTAGATTGGAAAGATTGTAAATTTTAAATTTCATTAGGGGTATTATATGTATTATGAAAGTTTCATTAATTGTACTATGCTGATTCCCGCACAATCTAAAAGCTAAAGTTGTCTTGAGACTGTTTTTGATTTTGACTGTAGATTTTTGAACAATTCTTTAAAAAAGTACTTTTAAAGAGATTTACTAAAAACTAAAATTGTAGCAAAAGCTGATTTTAGAAAGGAAAAACAATACCAAACTAAGTCTTACTCTGTCTTGTAATTACCTTTCAGTTCATTCAACATATCTTTGCCGTTTCAAATAAAATATTGAAAGTGACGAGAATAGCAAAACTAGATAAAAACAACAATATAGATGAAACTAGGACAACTAATAGCTACAAAATAAAGTGTGACAACAACAAATTAGTTAAAATCTATGTTCACAAGTCCATGATCCGCACACATAATAATAGCTAGATCACTTTTAAAAGGTTTTTAGAATCACCACTATCAAATTCTGAGCCTGTGTGCTACGGCCCCAAACCATTATTGCCCTTCACCAAAACTATCATTAATGTAATAATCAATGGTATCTATTTATTGTCAACACCGGCTCTTCATAAGCAAAAATCAGCTTGCTTGAGATCAGCGTTTTTTATTCAATTGAAAGCAGTTCTACATCGATGATGTGATTATATACTAAAACCCTTGAAGACATTCTCTACCAAGTACCAGGTACAAGATTAAATATTAGGAAAGATTAGTGCTTCCACTTGAAAGATTGTTGAATATTGATCAAATAAAAAAATATTTTAAAAATGCATATTTAATTTTGGAGGGAAAAAAAAAAAAAAAAACCTACAGTTCAGCGACCCCTATAAGACTGATATCCCACGATGTGTTAAGTAAAAACAAGAACTTGAAAAACGACATTAGACTTAAAAGAAAAAAAAAGTACTCCCTTTACAAAATGACACACGAGGTAAAGCGACATTATCAAAGAAAACGGCGTCAAGTTCAAGAAACGACAACCTTCTAAAAGAAACGATACATGAACTTGTAAAACGATCTTATAACTACAGCCCATAATCAGTGCAAAAACAAGATAAAGATAAAACACTGCAATACGACGCTTAACAATAATGGCTGTACGACACCTTTGCAAGTCAGGTCGGGGCCGGCTGCAAATAGGGAGGCCGAAGCAGCGACAGTTGAGCACCGCTGTAGCACCTAGGGACGGCCGTGTTTGGAAGCCACTAAATGAGTTTGTTATGCAAGTTAAAATCAAAAGAAAACGAGATTTGGGACATCAAGCTTTATTTATTTACTTACTTTTATTTTCAATACAAAAAATGATGCTCTTGGTGCTCTTGGTGTACTATTTTAGTGCCGTAGAATAATTTCACTTTGAAAGAGCTGATCTTTTTGAATGCTGTTTAACTGTTTTTTTTCCCCCTCCATTATTAGTTAATGAATGTGGTTTGCGAGTAAAAAATATGCCCGAGGCAACATAGATAAAACGGGGAAAATAAAAGTCGAACTGCATGAGAACATGGAATGAGATACAAGCCAATGCGTTTATTTAGTAATGAGTATAAATTGATAACTAGTTGAGCTATGTTTTTCAAGTTGGAGAAAAATACCAAGGAAGAAAACAACGGAAATACAAGTTTCTTGGCCGAAAATAAATATCAAAAATTGATCGTGTTCAAATAAGACATTTAATAAGTTGGAACATTAACAACTAAGCCACCACATTATCTGTCGCTGAGATGTTCAAAAAAAAAAAAAAAAAAAAAAAAAAACTGAATTAAACTCCCAATCACCTGACCAAATCTAAGTGACAACGGAGGGCTTCGAAGCAGCAGAGAGCCTGGACCTTTTCTTGGCCAAACTCTCACTGCGACGTTCTCTTTGCTCCTTCAATCGGGTAGCAAGGAGCTTCTGGTACTCAGCCGCATCGGACTTGGCCTTGGCAACCCTCTTCTTCTTCTCAGCAATCCTTGCTCGCTTCCTTTGCAAAGTCAATGGAGTGACCAACCTCTGAATCTTAGGGGCCTTGCTGACCTTCTTCCCTGCAAAGACAAGTGCCTCCAAGCTTAATATAATGAAAACCATTACATGTAACCATCTCAACCCTTCTACAAACAAGCACATGATTTAAATCAAATTCCTCCAAACCTTTAATTGAAACAAAACGAAAAATCAATTTTCATAGTGCCAATAAAAAACATTAGTACTTATTATTTGAACACGTCATTGTAAATATATATAATTTTATATATATTCTAAAATGGAATAGCATGAGTACGGAGTCGGAAGAATAAACAGGGTAAAACAAGTACCAAGAGCATTTTCTAACCATCTCTTAACAGCCATTTTGAATATCCAAAATCTGTTAAATTGATTAAATTCACTGTTTTGGAGCCTCACCAGATTTAGTGGTAAAAGATCTGCGGTAGGTGTTGACGTACTTGCGGACATCATCCTCCTTTGATAGATTGAAGAGCTTGCGGATCTTCGATGCCCTCTTTGGACCTCTCATTCTAGGTTTCTCTGTGTCGGTCAGTCCAGGTAGATCATTTTCCCCCTTCTTTACAATCACCAAGTTCAGAACAGAAAGGTCTTGGCTGACAATGCACCCACGCACAGACTTCCTCCTGCGCTCTCCATTGCGCCTTCCATAACCACGGAAACAAGGGGTTCCTGGGCATAAAATGTTAAAGAGTCAATATTCAGACAGAGAACGGAATGTGGAACGACACAATAGACGGATATGACGATACAAGAACAGAAGATTTTTACCAACCTCTGTGGAGCAAGAGGCGAACACGACCAGGGGTCAAGACTCCCTGCTTCATTGGGAACCCTTGCTTGTCACATCCTCCCATGATTTTGAAGACATAGCCCTTGAATTCCTGTAAATGACCAATAGTCTGTGTAAAGACATAATATCAATCAAGTATTAAGCACATTGCAACCACAAAATATACATACCTCTCCAAGGGAGTCTCCACTAACTTCCTGAGAGATCCTCTTGTCAAAAAATGCTCGCCTGTAATCAAACAAGTAGACGTGATTATAGACATAGGGAGAGACAATTCTGCAAAAAGAAGTAGCTAAAGAAATACACAATTTTGAGCTATATTTAATTCACACACGGTATCAGAAGATACAAAACTGCAAATCTTTATAAGACAGACTCGGACAGCTAGATAGATCTGAAACAAAACTCAAAACCAAGACTCCGTTCGATCTATGTATAATCCACTTGAATTCATACACAAATGAGCAAAACACCTAATAAAGCAGAAAAGAGTAAGATCTTGTTTAGCAGG